GGGTGCATACCCCACTTGTGCAAGTGGGGTTGAAAAAAGACCGAAAGAAAATAGCAGTGGTTAGGTGTACGAGCTGGTTTGGTTGGTCCCTTCTCGTGTCGCATTTCTTGGTGCAGCTTCTCGCTGGCATAGAATTGGGCACGACACGAGAGAAGATTTGAAAAGCCTGTCAAATCGTCTGATTTTTTGCAAATGTTTGTCAAGCCTGTCAAATGTTTGAGAGGAGATTTGAATGCCCGCTCGCAACAAGCTGCAGCCTGCGAAGAAAGCGAGAGGTCGTGATGGAAGGTTGAAGTGAAAGGTTGAGGATCGCTATTTCTGCTGAGCCATGCTAGGCGAGGACTGACACATAATCAAATGGGGTAATGGGGGGGGAGGGCGGGGGGGGGGGGGGGGTAGTGTAATTGGGGTGCGGGATGGGGCGTCTTGATGGGGTGTACTGACTGGGTGCTTTGATTGGGTCCTTGGTGGGGCTTTTTATGGGTGTTGCGTTTAGGAATTTTTGGCAGTTTTACTTTCCTTCTCCCTTTCCTTCTACATCCCTTCTCCTTCATTTAGGACTGGCCTAGACCGCCTTTGATTGCCTCGATCAGAGGCGATCAATGACTTCCAGGAAGCCCCTATGCCGATTTCAGGCAATCAGGGGCAATCAGCTGATCGCGATCAATTAGTCGCCCCAACTCAATCAACCGCCTCAAACACCCCAATCAATCACGATCACACACAATCAGTCACGATCAGTTGATTGCATGGGATGGGGATCCTTGCGACTCTTGCGAAACAGGTTACAGTTTCTCGTTGAGATCGGCATACAATCGCGCAAACATTATCTTAAGTGTAATTTGCGTTATTACGTGGAAACAGAAAATTCGCAACGTCTTCGCACTCGCCAAAATCTGGACGAAAGAATCAGGAAATGCTGACACGCTTGCGAGGCAGGCGCCTTCAGTTTTCCAGGAATATCAGCATTGAGCGGGCGGCGCGAGCAATGCAATCAGAAGCAACCCGATCAGATCCAAACCGATCAGATTAGAGCCGATCAGAGGCGGTCTGAGCCACGTCCTTATGTCTCTCTTTCCCTTTTTCCTCTTTCTGTCTAGGATCAGGTGATGTACGCTTATATATTGCTTTGATTCAGAACAAAAAAAAGGGGTAAATCGACTCTGCAGCCATTCTCGGGCGGTGCGCCGGAATGATTAGGATTCAAACAAAATCACCGACTTTTGAAAAGTCCTTGCTTGGTTTTTGGAGTCTGCTGAAGTATATGTTCGCGGTTTTTAGGGAAAGCCCATGGTGTGTCTCGCAGTTCATATGCGGAGTTCATAACGTTTCCCCCGAATTCATGGTTTTAAGGGGAGAACCACGGTGTGCTTTTCAAAATGAGGGGAAGTTGCGGCTACAGATGGTGGAACACACTCCCGCCGAGCCAGCCCATGGGCAAAAGGCACCAGCTGGATCATCCTGGCGTATTCCGTTTCGGCTTGCTGTTGTTCCCCAATACACTGCTGTTGTCTGGTCTGGAGCAGGTGCGGTTGGTCAGAAGTGGGAAGGGACCAGTCAGTTTTAGCAGATCGAATTCATCCTTGCGCCCTCCGTGTTTCCAGCCTGTCACGCGGTTTTCGCGGTCGCTGGAGCAACAGTCCAGCGAAATGAAGTCATGATCGTACAATACCCTTTTTACTCCTTTCCCTTTCACTCTTCTCCTTTCACAGCAGGATTTCTCTCGAGAGCTAGAGGTCACCTAGAATTAGTGCCACACTGGCAACACCGCATTGGCACTTCAAGTAAAAACTTCTGAAATCGAAGCTCCACCGCACCTAGTCATGACCACAATCGGAGCCATGGCTGCGCGATTTTCCAGCAAGCCACGAGTCAGCCTGACGAACTCCGTCGAGCAGGAGTCCGTCATCGTCATGCTCCTTGACGGATCCATCCGTCTCTTTGACAAGCCGGCAGACTCTAGTGAGCAACCAACGGCCCAGACCGTACTCTCCGAGTATCCCCACATGAACCTCTCATCGCTCGAAGCGCTCGTCGCACCCAACACCCCGCTCGTGCCAGGAGAGACCTATTTCCTCACGCCGAAGCGTGCACCATCCGCGGCGCGCCCGCCATTGACGCCCCCTTCGAGAGACGGTTCCCATGCGTCCCGCTCTCGCGGCGTGTCGCCTCATCTCCCCCCTCGAAGCCCCCACGGCGCCGCAAGCGACGGTCAGATTCCACTCATGCGAGACGGCCCGTTTCAGCGAGATTCGAATGAGTCGTTTCATCATCGCGATACCCATGGCGGCGCCGTGGCCACGTTGGAAATACCGACGCGGGCGTCGTCGCCGGGTTGCTCCAGCGCGCGCAGCGAGGAGAGCATCGATTTCAGCTTCGTCACACGTGAATGCTTCGGCTCGGGCCGACACAACAGCTTTGGTTCGGGCCGACACAACAGCTTTGGTTCGGGCCGAGGCGGAGAGGATGAGAACGAGTTCGAGGAAGACGATAGTGATCAGCCCGCGTTATACAAATCCAAGACTTACAGCGGGAGCCGTAACCTGAATGGCAGCGGTCGTCCTCAAGCGGATTACGCGACGAAGCATAATATCGAGTTGTCGCCACATCGTGGCGAGGTTCGTCATAGCAGAACGCCGTCCATCTTCCCTTCGCCAACGTCGTCCGTGTCGAGTGTTACCAGCCAACGCGAGCATAGGCTCCCTCCGCGACCATCGTCCACCACAGCGGCCAATCCTTTTCTCGCCGAGGTAAGCCCGTGTCACGTGAATTTAGTGCCTCCCGTTTGAACCCTACATTATAGAATTCTTTTCCATGCCGTTTCCTCGCTCGGATCTAACGTCACGGTGTGATTCTGCTTTGATTATCCTCCGTTTTTTTCAGATCGCTGCCCTTGACGAAGACGACTACAGCGCGGATTCTGCGAGGGCAACCTCATCAGTTCCGAGTCGCGCGCCTCCCTTGTCGTCTCAGTCCGAAGGGTCGTCTCTTAAAGCGAAGGTCCTCGCGACGCTCGCGCACTTCAAGCCGCGGAGCCTGCGGCGCCTCACCTCCCCCGGCAAGAAGGCTGCCTTTCCCGCGACCCAATCCTCATGTGGGCCGAGTTTAGACCGCGATGACGTCACGGCCGAGATCGGATTCTGCGAGTCTGAGTCAGCGCAGGACTGGGCTGACCTGGACAGCAAGCTGTACATGATGACTGACACGCGGATTGGACACCGGCAGTCGCGTAACGCCATCAACTGCGCACGTGCGCATGCGGGATTTGCGCAAATCTTTAACGGGGTCGCGTGGGAGGCCCCTTCCCAAATCACCTGGGTTGACGACTCGAGTCGCGGGAATTCTCGTCAGTTTCAACGCACCGCGTCGCCTTCACCTGATTTTGGTGCTCAGCTCTCTTCGAAAATCTGCCGGAGTTGCAACGGCATGAGTAGCTGCTGCTCCTGCGAATCGCAACCCGTCGCCGAGTGTAACGTGCGACGAGGCTACGCGTCGCAGGTTTCCTCGCGGCAACAGAGCCCTGCGATGATGCAGAGACCAGGAGAGGATTTTGTCCATGACCGCAGACATGTGAGGAGTAACGAGGTGGACTGTAACGAGTACATTATGCCGCCGATGAACCAGAGATTCCTGTCTGGGCCCATCGCGCATCGCGCAGCAATCTTCTAGAGTGTCATGCTGACTGAAACCCTAACTTCGTCTCCTTACCTTACCCTGCCTCTGTCTAGTTTAGGATCAAGGGGTGGGTGGGTGAATGCGTTTTGGGGCTTCGCGGGCTTCCTCTCTAGGCATTGACAAATTTTCGTGCTTGTTTTTGTCTGGTGTTCGTGTGAAAACTAATCTTAGAGTGAGGTGATCACATATAACATCAAATTTGTTCATTTGAAATCCTCGCTTCGGGTAGAAGGTGCAGCTGCTGCTCTTATGCACTACCAATACTGTGAAACATTACTGGCAAATTTCACTATTGCAGGACCTGAATCAGCCGAGCCGATCGTGGCAGAGACTATACATGGGATGACAAAATATAACTGCACTGTAGTGGTCATTGGGGCCATGATGACTATACAGGGAGTTGCACAGCAGCCACAGCAGAGGCATCACTGACACTGCAATCCATGATGTGACTATACAGAGGCCCAGAAGGCGAGAGCAAATGTCACTTCCAGCAGGTACGTGAAGGATGATTGCACTGAGTGGCAGGCGGAGGGGGGGTACGAGCAAGACAAGGCCAGGGCAGGGCCCGTGTGCGCAAGTGGCTGGGCTGGGTGGTGTGATGTGATGTGAGCGATGCCGCTGAGAGGTCTAGAGCAACCCACCGGTGGGGTGGTGGAGGGATTAATAAGTGCGAGTGTGAGCACAGCGGAGCCGTAGCTGACACTAGGTAGCGCATGGAGTGGCAGTGGCTGGAGTGGGTGGCGCGATAAGAGCGATGCTGCACCCTCCTTCTGGACTGGATGGTGCCATGTGAGAGATGCTGGCGGACGCTCAGAGCAACAACCCCTTAGGTGGAGGCGGGGGGGAGTGTGAGCACGGCAGAGGCATAGCTGACGCTAGAGTCGCGCATGGACTGGCAGTGGCTGGGATGGGTGATGCTGCTGAGAATGCTGGCTGAGGGCCACAACAACCCAACCCCCATTCAGGTGGAGGGTGGCGGAAGTGTGAGCACGGCAGAGGCGTAGCTGACACTAGAGTCGCGCATGGAGTGGCAGTGGCTGGACTGCTCGTACTGTACAAAGCGGATGGAAGGGGGCGAGGGGCACAGCTCCGCCATCTGTGGGGGGCAGAGGAACAGCTCCGCCAGAGGGGGGGAGTGTTGCAGGGGGAGTGTGGAGGGGGGGGTGTGGTGAGGGGAGAGTCGTGAGTGTCCCACATGGAGTGGCAGGGGCTGGATTGCTCGTACTGTACAAAGCGGATGGATGGGGGTGAGGGGCACATCTCCGCCATCTGTGGGGGTGAAGGGGAGCGATGGGTTGGAGTGAGGGAGCAGGCGGGGACGAATGAAGTTGTGTGAGGTGGGGCGAGGCGGGGCGCATGGAGTGGCAGTGCATGGAGTGGCAGTGCATGGAGTGGCAGTGCATGGATTGGCAGTGCGTGGAGTGGCAGTGCATGGAGTGGCAGTGCATGGAGTGGCAGTGCGTGGAGTGGCAGTGCGTGGAGTGGCAGTGCGTGGAGTGGCAGTGCGTGGAGTGGCAGTGCGTGGAGTGGCAGTGCGTGGAGTGGCAGTGCGTGGAGTGGCAGTGCATGGAGTGGCAGTGCGTGGAGTGGCAGTGCGTGGAGTGGCAGTGCGTGGAGTGGCAGTGCGTGGAGTGGCAGTGCATGGAGTGGCAGTGCGTGGAGTGGCAGTGCGTGGAGTGGCAGTGCATGGAGTGGCAGTGCGTGGAGTGGCAGTGCGTGGAGTGGCAGTGCGTGGAGTGGCAGTGCATGGAGTGGCAGTGCGTGGAGTGGCAGTGCGTGGAGTGGCAGTGCATGGAGTGGCAGTGCGTGGAGTGGCAGTGCGTGGAGTGGCAGTGCATGGAGTGGCAGTGCGTGGAGTGGCAGTGCGTGGAGTGGCAGTGCATGGAGTGGCAGTGCGTGGAGTGGCAGTGCATGGAGTGCTCATAGAGCAGAAAGCGGATGGATGGAGGCAAAGGGGACAGCTCCACCATCTGTGTGTGCGATGGGTGGGAGTGTGCGAGCGGGCGGGGAGGATTAAAGCCACGATAGGCGGGGCGGGGTGGGGAGCATGGCCTTCAAACACCCTTCCACCCACCCAACACCCTTCCACCCACCCAACACCCTTCCACCAACCCAACACCCTTCCACCCACCCAATACCCTTCCACCCACCCAACACCCTTCCAACCAGTCCAATCCCCCCCTCCCTCTACACCTGCAGCAGCACACCAATGGGGTGCCTCACACACACAGTGGCGCGCTCGATTGAGTCACGGGCAATAGCCCAACACCCTTCGACCCAGACCAACACCCTTCGACCCAGGCCAACACCCTTCGACCCAGGCCAACACCCTTCCACCCATCCAATCCCCCCATCCCTCCACACCTGCAGCAGCACACCAATTGGGTGTCTCCCACAAACGGTGTTCCCCGTGCGCTCGATATAGTCACGGAAGGCCTTGGCCCCTCCCCCTTCAATGGCAGCCATGCCCTCGCGGTCCATGGCCTCAATGGCCTTGTGGATGGGGCCGTGTGCCTTGTCATATGGCGTGAACCGGAACCTGAAGGGGGGGTGCACGAGCAAGGAAGAATGTTTCTGTGCGCTCTCAATTCATAGCCTAGACTGGCTTGTGTCCGCTCTCATACAGTCACGACAAGGCTTTTGAGGCGCCTCAAAAGTTGTGTTCGCTCTCATACAGTCATGACAAGGCTTTGCCTTCCTTCCCACCCTGCCATGCTCACTAACGCCCCCCTTCCGTAGCCACCATTCTCTCGCAGCCCATCGCATCTATGGCCTTGTGGATAGGGCGAGACTTGTCGTATGGCGTGAAGCGGAACGGAATGTAGATGGTGGTAAAAGGAGAAAACGATTTCTTGACGGGAATGTTTGAAGCCGTCTGGCAGAGGAAATATGGTGCGGGAACGGTGGAAGAGTTTAGGGAAAAATGCTACATGCACAACATGTTACACTGCACCACAGACCTATACACTGCACAAAAACCATGCAGAACTGCATGGAACCGCACAGGACCATGCCATAGACGCACCTGGAGCCCCAGTGGCAGAAGTCAGACGAGATTGAGAAGAAGTTGGAAGAATCGGAGAAGTATCTGCGGGGGCAGTGAGGGTGGGTGGTACACAGAAGGGCAGAAATAAGGACGGGTGGAAATGGTGCGAAAGGGTCTTGGGGTTTGGAAGAGGTCAGTCAAAGAGTGAATGACATTGTTAAGGCATAAACAACATAAGATCCCTCTATAAGCTATGTTTTGCCGCTTGTCCGCATTTCAGGCGACTTGAAGTCACAGCTGCGCAAGTGCAGCGGCGGCGTCTGCTGTTGCAGCAAGCACGCTCAGTTGGTCTCACCTGGAGAGAATGCTGCTGGCCTCACCTGGAGAGAATGCTGCTGGCCTCACCTGGAGAGAATGCTGCCGTATCTGGCCTCTGCTGCTGCATCCAGTGAACCCACCATTATTGGCACCAAAGACACATTGTGACTGTGAAGAGGAGTGAAGAAGGGTTAAAAGGGGTTGGGAGAGAATAGGGCAGAGAGGGGTTTGGAGTCGTGAGATAGATGAGGAGGGCACTCGCTTATGTCGAAGCTACATGCGAGGAGAAGTCACAACTCAGTGACTCAAATGGACTCATGTCAAGATGGCATTAGCTCGTGTTGATCAGTGTTGTTCACCAGTGTTGACCAGCGTTGACTGGCTGTTGACCAGCGTTGACCAGAGTTGACTGGCGTTGACTGACTCACTCTTTGCACATGTGGGCGAGGAAGGGCGCGTGCATCTCGAGCGAGTGCTCTGCCTCGTCCACATGCCGCCCCATCTCCTCAAACTCGCCCGTTGCCCTCAACTCTGCCACCACTGCCAGAGAAGGGGCGGTGGTGAATGGTGAATGGGCGATACAAGGCGGAGGGGGGAAGGTGTGTGTTTGAGTCGACTCGAAACATGCCGTCCGATCTGCTCAAACTCGCCCGTTGCAAGGCGCACACACATAATGAATAAATCAGGTTTAATAGTGTTCACATGATGTGCAAAAAAGAGGTAAACATGGGTCACAGAATGGGCAAGTAGCGGATAAAGTAGGGGCAGTACCTTCCATGTCGATGGGTAGAGCACCGAGAGGCGTGTGGAAGGAGGTGGAGCGAGGCAGCACACACTTGCGCGTGTAGTGGTGGTGAGATGGGCCCAGGAGGAAGATGCGACGACTGGTGGGCATGGAAGGTAGGGAGAGAAGGGAGAGGTTTTTCAGCAGCGCTTAAGAAAGTGGCCATCTAAATAAATAAAACCACCTGTACTACACAGGTGATGAGACGGGCTCGGCAGAAATATGAGCAGCTGATGGGCGTGAACGGAAGGGAGAGAAGAGAGAGAGAGTTTTCAAGAGCGCATAAGAGGACTGTGTGCAGTGGTGGGACGGACCAGGAAGAAGATAAGACGAGACGGACGGAGAGCATTGATCGGGTTAAGGGAAGGGTGGGGCTAAAGAGGGTTGGGGGTGGGGGGGGGGAGGGGGGGAAGAGGGAACGAGGGTGTGATACAAAGCAAGTTCGGAACATGAGGCAGCAGTAAAAAAGTAGGCGATCGTGTGGGAAGGAGTACTCACATGGACGGAGCATGCATGTGCGCGAAGGCATAGGCCGCACATCTGCCCGAGTAGCGAAAACCAGCATGGCTGGACAGAGACACAACAGAATCAGGAACCATGCAAAAACCTTTTTATCAGAATCAGAACAACGAGACAAGGACAGTGAGACGGAAGGAAAACCGGGGAACAGAAGGCAGTCGGAAGCGGCTCAGGTACCGTCAAATGCTTCGCATTCATCACATGCCATGCCAACCCAGCTTACATCCCATCCCATCCACCACACATGGCGAATCCCCTTTCCCCCTCATCCTTCCCTTACCGTTTCCCCAACCTTTTCCACATCCTTTTCCCGACCCTGTTCCCGGTCTTCCCAGTCTTACCATTCACCCAATTTTCTTCCACCCTTTCCCCACCCTCTTCCCAGTCTTCCCTCACGCTTCCCCCACTTGCCCCGGGTGACTCACGGGGCAATCACGGCGCGCACGGCGGCGTCAGGCGACACTCCCGAGGCCGCCAGCCACGCCTCCATCTCCTCGCCCAGCTCCTCCGCTATAGTCACATCGGATCACGCATCGCATCAAATCACAACAGATTACATTAATCACATCGCATCACATCGCATCCAATTAAACGACAGCTGACTATGCTAAGCAGGGAAACGAGCTTCACATCCGAAACCAAGCAATTTCACGGTTGCTTCAGTCACATTCGCTCGTTCAACTCGCAGTAATGACGCACTCCCCGCAGGAATAATGTCAGACTTCGTCAATATCGCATCGCAAGCTATGCTTTCTCAACTTGATACAAGCATATCCTCTACAAGTAAGCTCACCGTCATCGGTGTACCAGCTCCCCGCGTGACTCGCGTGTCTCGCGTATCCCGGCGGTGCCGACTCCTTGGTCTTGCTACTCGCTCGCGTCTTCGTCCCTCCGCCAACTGCGGCCCACATCTTCGCCCGCCGCACAGCCGCGGCAATCTCGCTGCGAGCACGCGATGTAACGTAAAGGCAGGAATGAACGAACGGAGGAGGGAAACGAATATATTCAGAAGTCCCACCCAAAACGATAGGATGGGACAAGGTGGAGCGCGGAATTGTATACTAATTCCTGCCCTTTGATTTCTTGATAATTACTACTCGTATCCTTCGCCTCTTCCGATATAATCTCCCTAGACGAAGCTGGTGAGAACTTGGGGGAAAAAACTGAGTCTCACTAAGCCCAGAATGGTAATTACTACTGTCAGAGAGCTGGTTCGGATTGTGATGGCTACTTTCGACGGGCTTACAAGCCAGCTCGTTACAGGTCAAGCACCGAATTTCATTACTCGTTCTGTTGACGGAGATACATTTGCGAGACGAGATGAGAGTAAGTTCAGTTAACTTTCGTGCTATGGTTACACATGGCAAGGGCGCAATTTACTATCATATCTAAATGATTCATCATGTAGGTCATTTTGTATGTTTTTTAATTTTCTGCTGTGTTGCCTAGGCCCTTGCGAGGCCTCCTACTCACTAATAGCCCCTGATACATTGATGAGTAAGGTGCCCTCATTTCTCTCACTATAGAATAGATTCTGTCATGCCTGTGACTCTTAGCACTTATGTTTTGATATATCTGTTCTGTTTAGTCTGGGCCTCCGGATTGTTGCATACGGTACTATGAAGTTGATGTTTATTGGGCCTGATTGGTTCATCCCTACAAGCACTTAACAGTAACATGTACCATACTGCTTCTTCTCACAGTGGTTCAGCCAAAGCACTTCCTATTCAGTAGTAGCATACTTGTTCTGACACACAATAGCATGCTCGGACCTTAGCATCTCATGGCAAAGACCTACAGCAGCTTGCTGTCTTCGAGGGCATACAACTTGTTGGCATTCTAGGCTGCACAAGCGGATCCTCGTGTTCCACTCCCGGCGTGGATGGTGCCCGAGACCGCATTGGAAGATAAGCTGGTTCAAATGCTTGAGCTCCCTCCGCTTGCCCTCTCTTCCTTGGCCACACATGGTAGGTTGACCCTCGAATGAGCTGCTTCTTGGGAGACACCTTCCTGAATCCTGACACTGACAAGAATGTCACGTGGTCATGACTAGAGAAGTCAGCAAGCAATTGGCGTGCTGTGATTGGTGAGCCAGTGTGATATGAACGGAGAGTGCCGTCAGGAAGGACGACATCGCGAAATCTCTTGTGGGCACAAAATGTACACGGTAGCTTTTCTTGCGGAAAAGCTGCGGAAAACCTTCGGAAAAACACCCAGGGTGAAAGTTGCGAGAATGTCACCTGTATGGCGCAACAAAACAGCTACGGAAATGTCACTTTCACCCCTCAAATGTGCACACCCACTCGTGTCTCGCGTGTTAAAGAGCGTTACAGTGCGGTTTAGGGAGTTAAGGTTGGCGGCAATTTCGCACAGCTGACGAAATGTTACTTGTGTGACCGAAATTTCTCCGAGCTGAAACTG